AGAAGCGCCAGGACCAGGTATCTGGCCCCTCGGAAGGGCTGACCGAGGAAAGGCCGCATGGGGGTTCAGCGGACAGTGGTTGTGACATAATGACCGAGATCATCCTCCAAAATTCGACGCTGAATCCAGCATGTTAACCTCTAGCGATAGGCTCCACAAAACTCTTTTGTGGAAACTCACTTGCTGCAGGTTCATACGTCGTTCATGCCATGGCACCAGTAGTAGATCATGACTCGTTTGTGATCTTCCTTTGGAATTTCGTACTTGAACCTTCTACTTTTGAATATTAGCATGGAGTTCGGCTGCAGGTTTAGAGTGGTCGCCTTGGCCGTCTTGTTCAACGCAGACATGCGCATTTGACAGGGGCTTCGCAGGATGTAGATGAAGGTAAAAGTCCTGCCATTGTCTCGTTCCGGTTCGACGTCGTTGTCCGCATGATCCCTGAAGAACGAGCCAGCCTTGTACATGTCAACAAACAAATTATTATTGATCTAGAGTATAACAGTCATTTTTCTTTCGGAGTGTGTGTCTGGAGTGTGTGCTTGGGGGAGTGTGTGCCTGGGGGAGTGTGTGCCTGGGGAGTGTGTGCCTGGGGGAGTGTGTGGCTGTACGGTAAGTTTCGCCTGTGTCTTTTGGTTCATTTCGAAGGGTAATGAAGTGAGTTTGAGGGAGAGCGCCGACATTCCTTTGAGCACGGCTGGGATTTCTGCAGCGTTGATCCAGAGGGCAAAATCTGTTCTGCAGGGGTCAGGTGAGAAAGGTGTTTGGTCTTCGAAGAGTGAGTGCATGTCTAGCCACTCGACGTCTTCGGCAATGAGGTCATGGATGGGCACGGTTTCCATGGCTGGTGCTTTGTCTTTTCTGAGTTGCCTTTTGGGACGCGAGACCAAAGGATGGTCTTCACAGTTCATCCAATTGGTCACAATGGTCCAACCTCGGTCCATAAGTTCGGCCATGTTATCTGCCGGTACGGAGTTGAGTTCTCTGTAGTGCGACTTCGGGAACATTATTTTGTAAGATTGTGGGTAAGCCAAACGACCGCCATCTTTTACCGTCATTTGCTCCGAGCGTGTGCGTAACTTCTTCACCTTCTGAACAATCACTTGCTCAATTGCCAACTTCAAACAAAACCCCTGCAACGCCGCCTTCTCCTTCGTTGATGCCACCTGACGTTTCTCTGTAGCCTTCTCAAACAATGAACTCGCACTCTCCGCAACCAAGCCCATGTGATCGGCAATAAAGAACCTCCGACTACACATCCGCTGTAACTCCTCCCCTAACGTGTCATCTTTCAATTTCTTGTAACAATACGGCGTCAACGTGTTTCGAATCTCACCAGTCTTCACATGACCGCAACATTCTTCCGATTTTCTCTCACCTCCTAACTTTTCGCCTATCGACTTTCCCGCGACCGACGATTCGTGACTGTGCGAACACGTGTTTATCTCGATCAGACACTCCGTTCCCGTGCCCTTCCTCAACTTCTGCTCCAGCTGTTTCGCCGTGCGCAAATCCATCACCGACACACACACTTCCCAAAACTTGTTAACCACCTCTTCCGGCCATTCAACCACATCATGTGCTTGTGCTAATGAGCTTGTGGATTCGCTCACAGTAGCCATAAAATCGTGGGCTAAAAATGAATGAGTCTTCGTCCGTGAGGGAACGGAAGTTCTTGCTAGTGGAGAGTTGTTTGAAAGCTGCCTTCCTGGAATGGCTGATCCAACCCGACACCGAGAGCACGATCCTGGACATTATACAGAACGTTCGAGAACACTCCTCTTCGCCCGCCGTGACTCTGGATGCACCCACACCGCCACCGGCCATTGCGCACAACCTGCCCGAGGCGATTCCCGGCTCAGAAAGCCCGCAAGGGCGAGGCATTGATGGGAGAGGCATTGATGGGAGAGGCATTGATGGGAGAGGCGTGGACGGGAGAGGCGTGGATGGGAGAAGTGTGGATGGGAGAAGTGTGGAGGTTGAAGGGAACGGTCGGGAGGGAAAGAGCTGCGGACAGGACGATGTCCCAGCCTCGTGGAGGACAGACGACAGTCGGATGGCTTTCTACCACAGGGACACTGACCGGTCAGCCGGCGACTTGTCAGCGGACCAAGACTTAGCAATGACGCCAGTGGGATCTGGTCTGAGCCCGGAAAACGCGGCAGCCAACCACGCAACATATGATCAGTCCAGTCCTGCTCTAAGAGAGGCGCCGGGAACCGGCGACGAGGAACAGCTCCGAGAAAAACTGCACCGGGATGAGCGATTCCGAGAGGAGCAGGAGCGGATGCAGGGCCTGAGTCAGTCGGCCGCGGAAGCCGAGTCTGTGGGACTGCTCCCGGGCGCGGCCTCGAGCTTCGCCTCGGCCAGCCTGGGTTCGAGCAGTTTCGGCTCGGCCACTGAAGGATCCTCTGTCCAGGGTTCTTTGGCCACAACGTCCTCGGTCCAGGGGTCCTTAGCCCCAGGGTCCTCGGTCCAAGGGTCCGGGTCATTGGTACAAGGGTCTGTGGTGCGAGGAGGCACTTCAACATTATACAATTCATTGACCGACAGCCAGTGGCCCGTGGCCGAAAGTGTGGGCGAGAGCCTGGGCGCAGTCGAGAACCTTGGTACCGTCTCGGTGACGGAACCGGTGGCAGAGTTTCACGACGTGGCGGAGTCGCCCGCACAGTTGCGTTTTGCCAGCGATGTACAGGACGAAGGAATGGGACAGGCGGAGTCCTCGGAGCCGGCTGGGGCGAAGGTGGGAGAGTTTTACACAGTGCCTTCATTCCGGCAACATATGAAGGAGGGGCTAACGACACGGTCACGCGAGATGCTGGACCGCATATTCGGGGCCTCACTCGAGGACGCCACTTTGGATTTTGTGACCTTCGAGCAAACGGTCGTGAGCCAGGTTTGGGGATTGAGTAACTACATGTCGTGTTGTTTGTACTCCATGATCAAAGGCATCAGCCTGACGGAGATCAGCGAGACGGTGCACGCAATTACGGCGGCCGTGGACGTCCATGTGGCCTCGGGCTACCTAGTGCGCCGTTCCGAACTCGAGAAGTTTTGGGTTGAAAACCAACTCTCACTCTCCGAAGGTTATGTCTGGAACCTCTTCGCCGTCATCCGGGCCGCAAGCCGTAAGTCCCGACCCGATGGGTCTGGTCAGGCCGTCACGGACGTCACGGACGAGGGTGGCAGCCAAGGGCAGGTCAGTCAGACCGAGGACGGCGCAGGAGGCAGCGGCGCAGGAGGTAGCGTTGAGAAATCAAATAGTGTGTCGAAGAGTGCGTCATTGCTGAGTTACTTTGAGGACGAGGAGGTGGTCAACATCAAGGACTTTTACCCTTTCTTGTGTGAATTGGTCTTGCGGCATAAACCGGTTGAGTTTCTGAGGACGTACACGGAGTTCCAGAAGCGGTTGTGCGACACGACCTCGTATAAACTGGCGTTCGATTTATGGGGGAGTGTGGATGGTGACATCACGTATACACGATTCGGCGCGTCGTGTTTGGCTGACACTTGGTATTATATTTCATCTTCACAGCATGAGATGTCCCAAGTGCGCGATTTCTTCAGCTATGAACAGTTCTACGTAGTCTACTGTTTGTTTTACGCACTCGACGCAGACAAAGATGGCACTATCGATCGACAAGACTTGATCAAGTACAACAGCTACGCATATAGCGACCTCGTCATAAATCGAATTACACAAGAGTCAGGTCCCGAGTATTTCGACTCCCATGGACGAATGAATTTCAACGGCTTCCTTAAATTCGTACTCATCGATGAAGACAAAACCACCGACCAAGCCATCGAATACTGGTTCCGCATCGTCGATCTCGACGGCGACGGATACATCCGCCAATATGAAATTGACAACTTCTATCAAGATCAACAAGCCAGACTCACCTCCAGGTCACTTGACGCGCCTTCTGTTGACGTTATCCACTCACAAATGTAACCACTTACACACTGTGGGCAATACACACACTGACTGTGCGCAATGCACACACTCACTGTGCCTGATCCATACAGTCTTCTTATTGCAGCTCTGATATGATTCGGCCGCAGGTACCCTTTGCTATCACTGTCCGAGATATAAAGAAACAGCGTAGACACGCTCCCCTATTCTTTAATTCCCTTCTCAAGTACATATACACACGAGAACACACGAGAACACACGTGTGAGTTACACACAGCATGTTTCGGTAGCATGACTAAATTCGTCTTGTGGGAACATCGAGACCCCTTTATTTCAAAAGCGGAGATTCTAGACTATCCTTTGTATACGTAAGAAACTATACTATTCACATCAGCCAGTCCCTTTCCTTCAGAGACTGGGAACGATGGTGTCGATTAGAGTATGACCGCATCGCAGGTGAGGAAGCCCAGAACGGCGGCGACGCGGCCTCCGGCGGGAGCGACGTGATTTATTAGCGACCGGCGTTCATTCACGGACTCAACGCAGAGTCCTTCAAGGTACCGGTACCGGGTCAACTGCGGCAAGTGGCAACCATTACGAGGTTTCCCGCGTTCCGTCTTCGGCCATTGCGTCGGTGTCAGCCAACCTGGTGATCATACCCCGGGGTCGATCGTCCGCCGGTGGCTGATCAGAGCGCGGTTTTTCAGCCAGTCGATCGAAGATCTATTGGAGCAAATCGTCCGGCGCGATTTCTGGCACTTTTTTTGACGTAAAAAAATGCTTGTGAAATGCGAGTCGAAATCTGCCCGGGTTAAAGCAGTCGCATTCCACCCGAAGCTGCCCTGGGTGCTTGTAGGCCTACACTCGGGACCGATTCATCTTTGGGACTATAAACGAGGCTGCATTCTCCACAAGTACGACCGCTACCCTCCTACCGGAGGTGTCCCCCTCCTACCGAAAATGTCCTCCTCTTACCGAAGATGTCCTCCCCCTATCGGCACCAATGCTAGGTTGTGGCTTTTAGATTTGAGGACCACGTTGGTCCGGTACGTGCTTTACATTTCCACCCGAATCAGCCATTGTTTTGTTCTGCTGGTGATGACCATGATATTCGTGTATGGAATTATAGTACCCATCAGAAGTTGTTTAGTTTAAGTGGGCATCTAGATTATGTGCGTGCGGTAGAGTTCCATTATGAGTATCCATGGATTGTGAGTTGTTCTGATGACCAGACAGTGCGTATTTGGAATTGGCAGAGTCGTCAGTGCCTATCGGTTTTGGCGGGTCATCATCATTTCGTGATGTATGTTCGATTCCATCCAAGTCTTGATTTGATTGCTTCAGCATCAATGGATCAGACTATTCGTGTGTGGGATGTATCTGGACTTAAAGAAAAGACTGTTGCCCGATTGCACTCCCTTAACCCAGGTACAAATGCCAGGAATAGTACGGAGATGTTTCAGCCACAGGACGCGGTGTGTAAGTATATAATCGAAGGGCATGATCGAGGTGTCAACTGGATAGATTTCCACCCACATGTTAATATGTTGGTATCAGGTAGCGATGATCGTATGGTAAAGCTTTGGCGTTTCGATGAGACCCGTTGGTGGGAGGTGGATACGTTCAGAGGACACTTTAATAATGTAAGTGCTGTTAAATTCCACCCCATTTTGGACGTCATTATATCCAACTCGGAAGACCATACCATTCGTATTTGGGACGTTAACCAACGGAAGCTACTTAACTCCGTGCGACGGGAATCAGATCGCTTCTGGGTCCTCGATTGCCAGCAGAACTCTATCGCCGTCGGACACGACAGCGGTATGATCGTATTCAAGCTACAACGGGAACGTCCAGCCGCCGTGCCTTGGATGTCCTCCACCTCAGGATTGGGAGCACTTTGCGCAGATAATAACACTCTCAAACTACTAGACTTGAACGATGAACGTGTGCTCTCCCGCTCCGCTATTCGTCCTGCACGCGATGCACTTAGTGGCCAGCCACATCGCTTAGTCAAAAACCCACTCAACAACACAGACCACCTCCTTGCCGTCCTCTACCCCAGCGAATTCGGCAATGACTTGTTTACTTACGACATTCTAAGACTCCAGGGACCAACCGACAAACTAGGCTTGGCGGATGGTGGTAAGTTAGCGGACGGTGGTAAGCTGGCAGATAGCCTCAAGCTGAACGCTCAGTCGCCGCCATGCAGCGCCTTAGAGTTCTGCGGGCGATCGAAATATGTAACACTCGATAAGACGGGTACCCTCAAACTGCACACTATTGCGATTGGCGGTGCCGATGAGTCCGTGCGCACTGTCGAGTGGCCGTTGGAAGAACAGCCTGAGAAGGTGTTTTATGCTGGCAACAACAAGGTCTTGATCCGTGCGGGAGATTCAGTTTATTTGTTCGATCTGGTGAACAAAAAAGTGCTCAATAAACTGGATCTGGCAATGGCCGGGGCGCACGGTTCTAAGGGCAAGATCCGCTATTGCTGTTGGGACGGGAGCCGCGTGGCACTGATAAGCAAGTTTTATATCTGCATTGCGACTAAGGACCTGGAGCATCTGTATTCGCTGCATGAGCCAGTGCGCATCAAAAGTTGCATCTGGGACCCCGCGGGTGCGCTCCTTTACACGACGGCCAGTCACCTCAAGTACCTGCTTCCCAACGGTGATGGCGGTATTGTGCGTAGTCTGCCCGAGTGCTGCGGTAACACTTATTTGCTAGGCCTTTTGGACCCGGAGCACGCGGCGAATGTGACGAGTGCTGGAACGACCGGCACGGCGACGACTGTGGGTAGCAGCAATGGCAGCAACGGTGTCGCAGGAGGCGAGTGCTGTCGCCTACTGTACCTGGACTATGAGCACAAGGTGAAGGAGATGGATGTGGATGTGCGCGAAGAACGACTTAAGATCGCGGTCCAGCGGCGGCAACTGGATCGGATTGCGGACATTCTCAAATCATCACGTCGCCTGCCCGGCTGGGCTTGGATCAAGTACCTGGAGGCGCACGGTTACCCCGAGGTGGCTTACCATTACGTAACGGATGACAGCACACGGGCCTATCTCGCACTGCAATTCGGCAACCTCGATGCGGCGCTCCAAGCCATGCAAAGCGCGGGCACGTCCACGACGGCAGCGAGCTGGGAGCAGCTGGCACGGGCAGCCGTGGAGAAGGGTCGAGTGGATATTGCAGTCGTGGCCTACCAGAAGGCCCGCAAGTATGCCCAGTTGATTAAACTCCTAAGTCTCTTGGGTGACCTGGAGCGTCTTAAGAAGCTGACGAATGTGGTCAAGGTCATGGGCGATGATAATCTGACTCTCCTGGCTAACCTACACACCACTGATATCCAGGGTCGCGTGGCGTTGCTGCAGAATCTGTGTCCGGAAATGGCATACATGTGTGCGCTTGCACACAATCTGGAGACGGACACACTGAAGGAACAACTGACACCTCAAGTCCGTGACAAATTACAACAAGCCGTCGCCGCACGCAAGGAGAAGACACTTCTAGCCGCACCCATTCCCATTTCCCTCGCCGAATCCGTCAAAACATGGACCCTCAAACCTGATGATACCGCTCCCGCTGCTTTCCACGAGTTGCTAACTAAACCCAAGGCCACTAGCACTCGAGACCAGGAACAACGGGACCAAGACCAGCCGCAAGTAGGTAACGCCTGGGCCGATGAAGATGAAGACTGGTTATCGGATGACGACGAGGACCACTCGGTGGCCGGCGGCGAGCAGACGGGAGAGAATTTAGCATTGGGGGTGGATTCGGATGAACCTGTTGGGGTAGGCAATAGTCTTGGGTTGATTGTGTCACCAACCCAACCGGGTATGTGTATTGCGGATACAGCGCATAGTGTTGGTACCTTGGTCGCGGTTGGACGTTTCGAAGAGGCGTTGTGTGTTCTGCGCGATGAAGTTGGACTTTCCGGCTTGGGCAACTTGCGGGAGCTTTTCAAAATGCAGTTTGTCGCCGCACAGTCCTATCTACCCTCGTTGCCATGCATGGGTGCCATGCCAACACATCTCCTCGACTCAGAGGGCGGGGTAGTTAATCAAACACAGATTCAGGTCCACTGTTTGTACACACCATTCAGCTTCAATCAGGCATACCGCAAGGGCATCGAGGCATTCGGAGCTAGACAACTACCTGAATGCACCACCGCCATGCACGACTGCATACGCCAAGCATGTCTCGTCAGCGTCGATGTCGAACAAGAAGTACCCGATATCGCGACCAAAATTCATAACGCCGCCCAATACCTTCTCGTCATCAAACTACTCAACGAAGCCGAGGCCGCACCCACCGGAACCGACAGGCTACAGAAACTACTCGCGTCCACCACACTACCCGTCAAGGCACCGCACAGATTCATTCTCTTCCGAGAAGCCTGTAAAACCGCCAGGAAACTTGAAAATCACAAGACATGCGCCAACGTAAGTCCGGACCTGAACATGCCGTGTAAAGGAACGGGGTACACAGACCAGGAGTGGTCTCCCACACACACGGAAACATGGGAGTGTATGACACACAGGGAGTGTGTGACACACAGGGAGTGTGTGACACACAGGGAGCGATCACGGACTGGGGCGTGGATTAAAGGCCGTGTGCAACGTTTGATTTGATAGCTAATCCGGAAAATGGCCAAGCTGAATTTGGAAGCATCAGCACCTGAGTTTAGTCACGACATTGGTCGCATGAAGACGAGACTGCTTACCGAGCAGGAGAAACTCGGCACGGACAAGTTCGAGGATTTGGTGATCGAGTGTCGAGTATGCGCTAGCACGCTGGAGCTCCTGAAAGAAGATAACGGAGTACCGTGTGCACTCTGTGGAGCCATCTCTGCGTCGTCATTGGAAGGCTCGACTTGCGGACTATGTCGTGTTGGCCGTGTCAGTTCCAGCCTGCCCGGCCGAAGTTTCATCGCCAGTGCTTGTTGAGATTTGGTCATAGACCTGACTGACTGACCAGAGAATCCAGTGGCTGACCAGAGAATCCAGTGGCTGACCAGAGAATCCAGTGGCCTGATCTGAATGGTCATGTTCTTGGTGGCTGGAGTCATTCGTCGACCTTTTTTTTCCCGGTCATGGTTGTGGTCCCGGCCGGGGGTAGACGAAATATAAATTGAATGAAGAAGGCTGGTGGTCTTTCTAGAGTCCGTACAGCGCAGTCGAAGCCAACTAACCGGTTGCCGGAAGGCAAAGCAGTAAAGAGCGGAACTAAACGGAACAAGCTGGACACGTCCAAAACGGGCACGGGACGACAACCCAGCGAACCACCTCGACGGAAAGACCAGAACGCTGAGCACAAGCCCAAGGGGCCGCAGCTCAAGGGATCTCAGTCCAAGAGGCCGGGATCCCATAACTCACAATCCAAGGGGCAACAGCTTAAGAGGCCGCAGTCTAGGGGACAACAGCTCAAAGGGTCGCAGTCCAAGGGGCCGCAGAACAAAGGGGCAAAGCGCCCTGAGGAGCACATGCCCGAAGGCGTTGACAAGGACTTGGGCAAGATTTTGAAGCAGGTTCAAGCGTCACTGGATGCACAGAAAGTCGCCGCTGCGGTTAAGGGTGGGAAGAAAACTAGGATCAAGGGCAAGGGCAGGTTCGAAGTGTCGGATGCGAAGACGCTGGCTGCTATAAACTCAGTAAGGAAGGACAAGACGAAGAAGGCTCAGCCGCAACCGACAGGAGAGCCCACAACGGTGGCCGCCCGGCAGAAGGTGTTGAGTAGGTCCAAAGTGGAGAGAGAAGGGAACCCTGTGTTCAAGGCGTTATTGCAGGAACACCGCCGAGCAGGAAAGGATGGCGAAGACGAGGTCGTAACCGAGACTTTAGAGGACATCCAGCGACTCATGGAGTCCTTGGGTGACCCGCTTGACCCCCAGAACGACGAGCCCGGTGTTCTGGGTACTGCCACACCTTCGCGCAAAGGCGTTCATGGAGAGGAACAGTATATAGACGAGGACGACGACTTTCCTTCTGACTTCGACGAAACACAACAGAGCACAGCCCAACAGAGCACAGCCCACGGGGGGAATAATGGAGGGGATTCGTCCGCGTAATTCAAGCGCACGTTACCGGTGTGACGCTATAAGGTTGGTCTCTTGGTGAAAAATCTGGACGCCTTTTTGTTGAATAAAGACACCAGAAAATCAGCGGGATGGGGGCTACGGAAATCAATGACGTTAAGAAGCAGTGGCAAGCCACCCACGATCAAGAGATTCAAGCGCGCATGAAACAAGAGGTAGATGAACGAGATGCTATGAAAAAATCTGGAGCAGAGCAATACGAGCAGATCAAAGCACAACTGGTGCGCACCCGCACTGAACTGCACGAGCAAGTAAGCTGTCATCCCCCGTGGTCCCTTAGGGGCGTGGTCCCTTATGCATCACGCCCCGGTGTGTGAACATACTTCCACGGTGTGCAAACCATCCCTTCCGAATTCGTTTAGGCTAGGAAGCAACAAGAGAAGCTGTCTGAGGAAATACAGAGGAACGATGTTTCAGAGTCGGATAACGACCGGGCCACCACCTGGGTGAAGGTTGCGGATATTGTGGACAAGGTTAACTCATTCATGAACGACGCCAGTATTCCTGGAACAAATGATCAGGAGTACATGAACAAGTTACTGCAAGCGAAGGTGAAAGCTCAGGAAGTTTGAGCTCATGGCGGATACCTCAGAAGGCTGTCAAACAGACGGCTGTCAAACAGACGGCTGTCAAACAGACGGCTGTCAAACAGAAGGCTGTCAAACAGAAGGCTGTCAAACAGAAGGCTGTCAAACAGAAGGCTGTCAAACAGAAGGCTGTCAAACAGAAGGCTGTCGTTGTCGATGTCTGTTGTTTTGGGTAGATAGGGCGGTTGAAAAATGGTTTTTATTGTTTCCCATATTTCTGGGTGGCTTGGTCCCAGGTGATGGCATTCTGCATTAACTGCTGTATGAGAGGATAAGCCTCGATGTAGTTGGGTAGCCTGATTTGTTCCATGGAGATGAGTTCGCGGAGAGTGACCGATTGGTCTTTAAGAGTTTCAAAGTCGATGGTAAGAGCGAAGGGTATTCCCAGCTCGTCAGTTCTGGCATATCGCTTGCCTATGGAAGCTCCGCTCGCATCGACCTTGCAGCTTAAGCCGTGTTGCAAACAACCGGATCTAATGTTATCAAGAATAGGAGTAAATGATGGCTGGTTGCTAATGGGTAGAATGGCCACCTTGAATGGCGCAATGAGCGGTGACAGAGCCAAAAATGTTCTTTCGGCATCTCTCTGTCGGTAGGCATGCTCAAATACAGCCTGTATTATTCGGCCAATTCCGAAGGAAGGTTCGATTACATTAGGTATGAATACTTCCTCAGTCACCTTAATATTTTTTTTTGTTATCTCCATATACTTGGATTCGACAGATACCGAGCGACCATCGCCGAGCTGGATGTTGCAGCACCCAGTGTCGGCCAGTTCTTGTTGTTTCTCCAATTTCTCATCGTCCTGAAGGCTTTCTAAAATGGACATGAGTTCGCCCAAATCCTTCTTCATAATTGGACCTAGCGCCTTACGGTTGGCCACCACCTCCAGACGCTCCTCCATGCGCGGCTCAGGCAACTGCCGGGACGCCTGCAGGTCCACCTTGGTTGCTCTGGCGTGCTGTGTTAAATCGAACGCTGACCGGTCGGCAATTCCAACACATTCCACCCACTTGTAGGAGGTTAAGATCTCGGCATCCCAGCAGTCCGAGGCGTAGTGAGCCATCTCCGTCTCCAAGTGCTGACGGAAACGTAAACCTTCTGGATTAATACCGATGGATACCAAAAAGAGATACGTTCGACCCATGAAGTATGCTAACGTCTCGTTGTCAATGATCTTGCTATTCACCGCGTCCACCAGGCTCATCATACGTGGCTTAGGGTCACTTGGACTCAGTTGGCTCTCTCGATCGAACAAAGGCACACGGACGTTTTTGACACTCTCAAACTTGCCGAAAGGAGACTTACACAAAGGATCGCAGAAATACTCAATTTCCGCCATCGGGAATTCACGGACGCGCAACAAACCATTCCGCGGTGCAATCTCGTTACGGAAGCTCGTTCCCACGCATGCTCCTCCAAACGGCATTCTACCATTGTTTTGCTCAAGCAAACGGCGGAAGTTCACGAATATGCCTTGAGCTGTTTCCGGACGCAAGTAGGCTATTCCGGCTCCATCCGTCGTCTGTTTCGGACCGATCCTGGTAGCGAACATTAAGTTGAAGGGATACGGCTTACTCAAATCGTTTCCAACAGGAGACCGAATCTTGTACTCTCGTATCACTGCATCCATTTCCTCTTCAGTCATGCCTTCCAGCTTGGCCAGTATCATGGGAATAGCAGACAACTGTTCACCGGATAATGCAGCGCCTTTTTTGTCATCCCCTTTTTTGCCATCCCCTTTTTTGTAATCCCCTTTTTTGTAATCCGCTTTCTTGGCAACCTTGCCTTCCGCATCGCTCCTGGTTTCAACCCCAGGTGTCGGACACTGAGCATCAGACAGGTACTTACTCAAGCACTCTTCAATGATCTTGTCAGCACGAAAACACTCTTTTGTAACCATGTCCTCACACATAAAGTCCTGAAACCGGTCTACATGACCAGAGGCCTTCAACACCGCATGTGGAGTAAGATTAGGACCACAAATCTCCATCAAATCCTCTTCCAACACAAAATGCCGCCTCCACTGACGCTCGAGTTCATTCTTCACTGCACAACCATTAGGTCCAAAGTCAAACAGACCAGCAGCAGAACCATATATTTCAAATGACGGAGCAATGAAAAATCGCCGTCGAAGTAAGTTATCCAAAGCCCCGCTCTGTTCCGCTAACTTCTCTCCCAACATTCTCAAAATTTTATTCCTTCATTCACCCCAACTACACCCAACAAGTTCTATCCCTCGGTCACAAAAACATATTCCCCCTATTCCATCACGAACTCATCGGGCTCATCACCAGGCCTAACACATTTGCCACTTAGAGGGGGGCTTGACTTAGGGGGGG